TTCAAGCGAAACTCGACGCGACATCACAGTGTCATTAGACTCCGACTACCTGTGACACCTTTAACAGGAAAACGCACGTCCATGAATAAGTTTCGGTACTGCGCGTTCAACCGGGTTCGTTCTAGGTCTGTACTACTTGTCACGATTGGCTTTCCATACTTTAAATCTACTGAATTATCTAAATTTCACAAATAATACAGGACAGTTTTGCTATGTCGTTAGGTGATCTATCACGTTTTTGGTACTTCTTATCACATGCTTTTTCACTGGCCCTGTGGATTTCATATGAACTACTCCCAAAATGTTCTTAGATATATTACAGAGCTACAGATGAAAACACATCATCATGAGAAAGTCCGTTGTATTCAGAAGGACATATTCGATTGAGCTTTGGTTAGATAATCCCTAAGTCGGATTATCATTGCTTCATATTTGTGAATGATACTAGGGTAACTACAACAACCGCCTATTAAAATTCGTCATTATACCCGTCATGTCCCCAACTGTAGATCCATAAGTCAAATGCCAACATCTGAATTTTTTTCAACTTTATTTTTATAACTGCTATATTCCTCGACAACTTAAATGTTAGCATGGCTCGCATGGACTGTATCATCCGACGGTGGTCACACCAGCTTTTCTATACGCATTCTTAATGATATCTTTCCATAATAACGTCTTTTGTGTTATACGGCCCTCAAAGCAGTCATAGAACTTTGATATGACTAAGAGGTGATCCACGTTAGGTGCTGAACATGAGGCGTGGATTCGAATTCGACTGTTGGTCACATCGTTCCTGTCTAACTTGAATAAGTCCCCAATCATTCGAAATAGATCATCTACTTCTGACTTCTACATGCATTTGGAAGTCTAATCACATTCGGAATCATATGCAAATAAAGTTTCGGTTAGTGTGTAATGGTGAAATGTATTAAAAATAAATGGTTTTAAAGACTTCGATATTGTTGCTAACATTATTAGTTTTACTGGAAATACTCTTAACTGAAGTCCAGCATTCGCAATAAATCACATTTGGGTGTACCGTGATGTGTTTATCTAATGCCATTTTGTCAGCTCGTATTAAATGTACACTGAAATTTCGATTGGACTATAATTCATGGACGATCTTTAAGCGAAGCTAGTCCAACCTTGAGAGTGTCCACCTACTTGCCGGGGCTAAATGAGGGTTATAAAGCAACTTGAAGGGTAAGAATTATGATTTGCAGTTGATGGTTAAGGTTAGGAATTAGATTAAGGGTTTTCATCACGAACTGACATAAGCTATAATGCCAAAATTCTATTTAGCCCAATGGGTGAATGAATTTCGCGTCAATATCTTAAACGTCTTATCGTATATCTGATTAGTTCGTCCATAAATTATAGTCTCGCCAAAATTTTAGCCATTTTCCGATTATTTATTTTCGTCCCATCATTTCGGACATGTAGTTTAACTGATTTTGGGCTCCTCGAACAAAATAAGGTTACGGACATCAGAATCAAGTGCTACATAGCTGTGGCAACTCTGGGTAGAAGTAACCTAACAGAATCGGAAAACAAGTCGGAAAACTCTTCAATTTATCCACTGCACTCGTTTCAAAAAGGGCAGTGATTCTTGTACCTGTTGCGATTATCTTTGCTTTGAGTACTTGTTGCACCAAAAAGCATTCTTTGTCTACTTTAACTAAAAGTACTTTGGTTAAGGTTTGTAATTTTTTGCTCAACTTTGTCCTGTGGTACCTTTTTTTACTCCTTGACTGACACTAGGGTTCTCACTGTGATCATTTTGTGTTTTAGACCTTTTTAGTCAAAATTAAAATGGTTGGTAAGACTCATAAATGTGGACAACCAGACTGCTTGTTCCTCGTTGAGGAAGGGTTGCGATGACTGTAAAAAGTGGCACCATAAGATGTGTGCACTCCTAAGCCCTATGGCATACAAAAGATGCTCGAAGCCTAACTCACGTTGGCTTTGTATGTTCTGCTGTACAAAAAAAAAGTTACTAATTCATGAGGCTATGAGCCTATTGGCTTCGGCCTGCAAAAAAACGATGGCGGTAGCGCTGGTAACATGAGCACTGACGGTGAAGATTGTGTCAGTGTAGTAAGTGCTGCTATCGGACTCGCTAAACACCTGACTGCAGTTGACGGGGAAGTGAAATCTCCGTTGACATTAACGAGGAGTGAAGTACCGGTAGATACTGACATCGACAATCATACACCTGTAGTCGAAATTGAGGACCCGGATAAGACTGTCACCGCTCCCAATAGTCCCGGTGTGGCTGTCCTGAGTGGTGATAAGTGGACTTCGGTACGGAGAAAAAGAAATGAGAAGAAAAAAGCTGTAGGCAAAACACAGCTGGTCTGCAAGTCATTGGAAGAGACGTATCAGAAGCAAAAACTCCATTGCGTGACAAGTCAGATCTCTCTGAGAGACCAGTCATTTTTCATAAGTTAAGAGAATCTCCCGATTAAGAACCAAAGGCTAGATTTGAACACGATCTCAACCATATTAAGTCCTTAATAAGTAAACTACTCCCAGATACAGTTTCAGGAGTTAGTATTTGTAAGCTTTATAGAATATGAGAAAAGATGGATTCCAAAAGTCCTCAGAAAAGCCGCCTCTTGAAGGTTACATTCACCACTGTTGAAGAAAGGAACCTGATTCTAAATAATTCACGTAAAGTGACTGGAGCTTGAATATACGTCCGTGAGGATCTCAGCCTAGCTGATTTTTTAAGAGGCAAGTTACAGAAGCCGAAATAAATGAGCGTCGCCAAAACGGAGAAAGAAACCTCGTTCTTAAGGGTTTCCAAATTGTAAAAGTTCGGAGCAAAGCGATCCCTAAGTCACTCCGGATGTTAAGGGAAAGTTCTCCACAGACTTAAAGGTATGCTACACAAATGCTCGCACGCTACTAAATAAAATAGCGGAGCTCAAGTCATTGGTGGATAAAGAAAAAAGGACGTTATTGCTGTCTCGGAAAATTGGTTAACGTCAGAAATATTAGATAGTGAAATCCAGTTGACTAGTTTTCTAACCAGTAGGGCTGATAGAATAAACCTTTGGGGAGGCGGGGTTATTCTGTACACGAAAAGTACCCTAACCATAAGACTAGCTGAGACAATAGCACACGTTTCAAGGACATATGAACTGGCGCGATGTAAGTTGAAATGTCGACGGCAAGATATTGAATTAGTTGTAGTATATCGTAGTCCAGAATGTGTAGCAGATGATTTCTTTCTAAGTTAACTTAAGTCTTGGTGTAACAAGGGTAAAAGCCTTGTAGTAGGCGAATTCAATGCACCATATATAAACTGGGTTAACTTAGAAAAATGGTCACCGATAACGTCCTTCGATTACAAACTGTTAGAAACCTCGATTGGATTAGCTTTATTCTAACACATTAGAAATCCTACATCATACGACTTAAGAAACTCCTCTTCTCTTTTAGATTTAGTCTTCACACACAGTGATGACGTTGGTCATATGACTTTCCTGCCACCACTAGGGAGCAGTGACCATGCAGTCATCTTATTCAAATTCATGGCTGAAATTGCCTGTTAAACAGTCGCGCCGGCCCGTCCTAACATATGGAAGGCAGACATGGAGGCAATCAACTCCGCATCATCGGCTGAAAACTGGGAAATTGACTCTAACGCATCAGTACAAGAGGCATGGACTCTTTTCAGGCAGTTATACAATCGGGTAACTCAATCATACATACCCTGGACAGTCCCAAAGACGAAGAAGCATGACAATCCCTGGATAGACCGGGATATTCGACGTTTACTAAGACAAAAGGAGAAGTGTTGAGATGTTGCTATCCGCCTTGGCACAGCATGTACGATGGAACACTACAGATCAGTAAGAAACAAATGTATAGCGAAAATTCGGGAAGCTCAAAAAAAAATGAAATGCAGTTGGCACAATCTGCACTCAAGCAGCCCAAGAGAATATTCTTGTACATAAACTACAGAACAAGGATCCATCATTGGATTCCCAACCTAATTAAAGAAAGAAGTGAATCTGAAATGATAGAGGAAGATCAGGAAAAAGTAGAGGCTATGGCTGACTATTTTGGGACAGTTTTCACTCAGGAACCTGCTCTAAAGAAAGAACCAAGCCAAAATAAACAGTCAACAAACCACCTGCTCACCGTGGACTTCGATCAAGACAATGTACTTAAGGCTCTTGGCACTTTAAACATGGAAAAGTCAACAGAGCCAGATGAACTACATCCCAAAATATTGGGACATATTGCACAATATATCGCGCCCCCACTGACTGATATTCAACATGTCACTTGATCAAGGAGTACTACCTATGAACTGGAAGGACGCGATAGTCACTCCCATACACAAAACAGGTCCACGACAAGTTCCATCGAATTACAAATCTGTAAGCCTCACCAGCGTTGTGGGTAAAATAATAGAAAGAATAGTCAGACGGACCATAATGGCATTTTTGGAAACCAATAACTTGCTAAACATGGGACAACATGGTTATTCTCTTTTTCTCCCCACTAGATCGGGATATCTCAGAGGACATAGTAGGCGAGTAGAAAAACCAAGAACGAACAAAATACCTGCGGCATACAGGATTTCACATCGAGTCATCAGTACTTGGAACCTGATGCCCGAAGCAGTGGTGTTCGCACCTTCAATTGACTCTTTCAAGAGAAGACTGGACACTCACAGAAGCATACTAGAAAAGGAATAACATAGGTCGTAGGCCTTCTGTCCTTACTACACAAATCTGAATTTGAATCTGTATTTCATATGACGATTCGATACGTTAGTACAAAAAGGATGAATGAAATAGTTACAAGCATCAATTCTTCGCTACAATCTTACTTCTGAGATATGTTAGACTTAAAATGTCAGACTCGATTCAGTAAGAGTCATCAAAACTACTCATTGGCTAAGTTCAATAAAAAAGTTTTTTCATTTAGTGTTGACAATTTGTTTTTTCGACTAGGTACTCATTCTGACCAATAGCATTGTCACATCTCACCGAGGTCGGTATGAACCTGGGGTTACACGCCTTGACGTTGTCGTTGTTTTTTAGTTCTATTGTAGTTTACTGTGGGTTAGTTTTGGTATTTCTACAGACGTTTCACCATTTTAATATAGTAGGGATTTTTATGCCATCCTAAATGTACCTCGTGATGCAAATAAAAGTGAAATCAAAAAAGCATACAGATCACTGGCTAGCAAGCTTCATCCCGATAAAAATCGTGAAGATCCAAAAGCTGACCAAAAACTCCAAGATGTAAATGAAGCTTACGAAGTAAGTTTTAGAAAAGTGTGTGGTGGACTTAGTGTTTTCGTAACAGTGAACGATTTTTTGTAACTAGTCATTTTCGACATATATATTGTAAGTTTATTCAGTTACTGTGATTGGTTAGACTCTGATATTCATGAGGTCTGACTTGCGGTATCCCTACTTTCAATTTTTTCAGAGTTTGGCATTCGCCGGATATAGATGTCTTCTGGGTATCTCATACTTTGTCGTACACGTCAACCTGTCTTTATTTTTTGTTTATCTATTGCTACTACGTGTAAAGTTTGTGCTCTGAAAGTATCTTGCTTGATTTTGTTCTCCTGTTGTTTAGTGTAAGAATTCATTGGATTTCCTGGAGTGGCGAAACCGCCTTCATGTCTTTAAAAACTCGTATCGTGTGCATGGGTTTATAAATAATAAACATAAGGTTAAACTTTACTCCGATCTGTTGAGTAACTGAATTGATTAACAAATCGATGCGTTATAACCGCACGAGGTAACTAAGAGTTTCGTGCTGATTGAAGGGTACAGACAGTTTCGTATCAATAGTCTTATCCATAATTAGATTTCAACTGTTTGGCAATGTATAAAACTTTTGGCTAATAGCCTTTCTCACGAAAAAGGGTCAACGTACCACTATGTTTGTGTCGTTCTTACCGATTGTTGGTAACAAATGGATTGAATGCGGATTGTTATATTCTTAATACGGAATTTATGTTTGAACAATTAATCTAATCGACGTATACATTAATAATTATTGAATGGACACAATTGAATTGAAGGTGTAATATTAAGTTACATCCAGCACTAGACCTTTCTGTATTCATATTGTGTTGGGCATCACACTGGTACCAGTAACGCCAGTAATTATATCAAAACTTCAATCCCTCTGGTACAGCTGTTGTATCATTACTGGAATTACACTGGTACTGGTTTAATTTGAAATTATATTAGAATTACAAAAACATAGCCTTGTTTCGCAACAATTTCACCCCAATCAAATCTGACCGAAGTATAGTGAAGTGAAATGTATTCAGTGTGTTATCTCAAATATTGATAGGTCAGGTAAATTCTAAAATAAGATTAGCAGACGGATTAATAACCAAAACCATCATAAAATATATGTAGATCTGGGTTTATAATTAATCATGCGACTGGGGATAAGATACATGGAATCAAATTAATACACCTGATAGTCACCTGCTTAGTCAGATCTTGTAGTCCAAAATGGGTATAAATTTATTTGAATTTGAAATGTCTATGTTGATCACACATATACTCTTCAGAAACAATCTTCTGTAATTTCTTCATAAACATGAGCTTACTAACTAAACATCCTGTACTTAGGTTCTCAGCAAAGATGACAAGCGTAAACTTTACGATCAGTACGGTGAAGAGGGTCTAAAAAGTCATGGAGAACATGATTTTAATCCATTTGGTTTTGCCCGATCTCCGGAAGAAGCACCACGTGGAGGTGATATTGTTATGGACCTGTGGGTTACTCTGGAAGAACTCTATGTGGGGAACTCTGTAGAAGTGACTAGGCGTAAACTAGTCAAAATGCCTGCACGTGGAACTCGGAAGTGCAACTGTCGTATGGAGTTACATACAACAGTCCTAGGCCCTGGTCGTTTCCAGATGCACCAAGAACAAGTCTGTAGCGACTGCCCAAACATCCAGTAGGTTCATTTTTGCAGTTCGTTTTGTCAAGAAATAAAATCAGTTATAACGACCATACTACATAGTGTACTTCAGACATTAAGACTTATTGTTTTTCTTTTGTAGCAGAAAAATGCTTGGCTAATCCAAAATAAGAACTAATTATTCTGTCTTATGTCGTCACACTTATTCACTCTTAGAAAAAACAACCAACTGTAAGGCACTCCAGCCATTATTGTGTTGTCGTATCATCATATTTATATTAGATTTTGACTGCTTACACAGCTATTACTTCTGTGCCAGCTGTTTAATGAGTATATGATACATTGATCACATATATTATTCTAGGAAGACTTAGTAACCAGCCTGTGATATAATAATTTAATATACATTAACTGACTACTAATTAGGTCTCGTCAGACGGAAAAGATTGTAATCACAATAGCATGACATCGAATCTAAATTTATTCTGTAGAATGGAGCATATAAATGCTCCACAAAAAACTCACTGATGAAATACATTAGTAAGAGCGGCAAAACTGTCCATCAAGAATTTTTATCTTTAAATCTCTTATTTATATACTTCGTGTGTTAAAATGTTTCTTGGCTAGCAGTAAAATTTAATAAGTGATGCTTCAGTGTATTTGACTGCCAATAGATTTTAAAATGCTCCATAGAAAAAATGAAAAGATATGACTGGTCAAGTGTCTATTTAGTCTGTGGTTGGATCACTTTATGGCTACAAGATGCTTGAGCAATCCCATAGGTAATTCACACTAAGCAATCTTAGTTTTAAATAATTACCTCCAATCTGATGGACATGATTACGTCCTTAAAGTATCTGTCATATATGTAAGGAAAGGGCACAAAAATATCTTGACTATCAACAGTGGGGTTCGATACGGTCATTTAAACCCATCACTGATGATATCTTGAAAGTTTGTAGTGACATAGAGCTGTTAGTCAAAGAGTATGCATACAATATAGTATTGGTATGGAATAAAATAAAAACTACTTAAATTTTGTTTGATCATCTAATGACCCCGATTCATGTGTGTATTATGTACTTAAACTATGTACAGGATTAAATTTGTCATACACATTCTATCGGAGCTGTAAACGCGATACTGATAATCCAGAGTGTGTGTGAAAGCTATAGTCAGAACAAGGACAACTTGGCTTTAAACTTTATCTGGTTCTAAACGTAAAAAACAATTCGATTAGTACAATAATTAGTCGAATCGTAGCCATTAAGTGAAACGCACAAACATACCAACCAGTATTACGTGTCTTATTGAAATAAATAATAAAAATTATGAGTTGTAGTTACACTAACATGATGGGATAATAATGTCCTTCAATTGGCAGGTCATATGCAACAGGGATGGTCTACAGTTACATCAGACCAGGCTGACGTGGTGGGCGTTTAGGCAATGATTTGATGGGTTAGTTATGTTCATAACTAACACTAGATTCACAGTTACTTCACAATATTAGGAGGATCCTATGCATACACTGAGCCTTGGTGGTGAGGTAAGTAACCAGAAGGTTTATGCATATATATCCTGATAGAAGCGTTCCAGACAAGCTCTACTTTCCCATATTTCGTAAAAACCCAGCTGCACTACATGCATAGTTCACTATCCTAGCTAGATGCGACGTTCTGAGATAAATGACTTTCAGTGTTTGATATTCACTTGATGACAACACCATCAAGATAATTATAAGGCTTAGTAGCTGTGGCTCAATAATCAAGACATTCGGGCCCAGCTCTACCTACTTCATTTTGGAGAATCGGGTAGTTTCGATAACCCTCACACTTAGAGTTTGGAATGAATGCAATCACACTAGTGTATATCTGATAACTAATTTGAATGATTAAATAATGTAGCATGTAATTGGCCATGATCAAGATGGTTTTCAGTTAAATTAAGCCATCCTGGAACACCGGCTTTTGTAATTCTGTTTATGATGTGTAAGCCGCTTACATACAGGCCTGGTCAGTTAGTGATTAACTACCGTGAGGCCCCCAAATGCCCTGCTACGTCCGGGAGCGAGGAAAGCCAGCTTTTCCTCTCGAAATGCTCTCACATGGTCACGCATATACAGACACAACCTGAGAAGTCCTACTCTGTCTTCTCGTGGCGGGGGTGTTGTTTACGAAATAGAAAGGACGAAAAGCGAATGTCCGACGCTTTAGCCGGATTGGCGGGTACGGAGTATCCAGCTAAGGGAGTTGGAGAACCATAATTCCAAACCAAATGTTGTACATGGGCTCCAGGATCCAGAGAGGACAAATGACTTGTGAACCTACGGTTGGCCACCGGCTACCATGGGACTGCATCTCCTAACATTGCTCCGCTGCCTTGTGGATCGGACTTCTAGGTCAAGGGCTCGGGGTGTGGCCCCCTGAGGAAACCACATTCTTTGTTTTGGGCACCCGGGAAGTATCCCAGTTTCCAAACAAATTGAATGGTTTCTGTGTCGGATATATTTGGTACCCCCTTGTACCAATGTTTATGTGTTGAAATAAAATAAAATAACCGTGAAGCAAAGGATATTTACATCGAACTGTATATAAACTGTTTTCTGTATTAGTTTCATAGTGATTATTATTATTATTTGCTTTTTCCATTTCTTAATATGATTTTCATTTCGTGTTTCATGTTTTTGGTGTCACTCTTTTATGCCTAAACTAAATAAATAAACCAACTCCATAAGGTTTGTACCTGAGGAAAGAAACCTCTATGTGGAAATTGAGCCAGGAATGAGAGATGGGTATTTTTATCCATTTGTTGGCGAAGGGGAACCTCATTCTGATGGTGAATCAGGTGATCTGAAATTTCGTATTAAACAAAAAAAGTATGTAAAACGTTTCCCTTTTTCTCTTGGTTACTTTTTAAATTACATTTTACAACATTGCGTATAATAGATATCTTATGTTCAATTTCCTTAGAGAAACAGTAGTTTACAAAATTTTTCGCGTTACCTTACTACTGAATGTTTAGAAACTGATCAGATGATGGGGTTATGAGTAGCAAAATGCTGTCGTACATATTAGTGTTTGGTTTTTACCAAATACTAATTCTAAGTCGTTGTTAAAGTGAAAAATGAACATTGGATTTTGATAATATAGCATTTTTTAGTCACTTAACCACTAATTCAGCATTTATATCGAAATAATCCAATAATGTCATGAGTGTATTCCGTAAATTTCTCCGTTTCGTTCGACCAAAAATAACTATAAAGACATTCCATTGAATTACAATTACAGGAAAGTTTTTCACAAAACTGACGTCCATTAAGAATAAACAACTCTATAATGAACTTTATAACATCTATGAAGTAAAACGGAACCTCGCCATTTAAAAATGTAATCATTTCATTAAATTGGCTTGTAAGGATCCAGTTAGTGAATCCTTTTGATAGATTTTCATGAAACATTATTTGAGAAGCTTATTTTAATCTGGACGTCTTAATTATCCCTTCATCGTTATTGTCATTCACCTCCATTGTAATGAATCTTGAAAGCGGATGGTAAAATTAGTCGTAGTGTTTTATCAATAAAGCCTTGTTAGCTAATTAATGTGATTCACTAATAAAACTTATATCTGTGCAGTTGGATTTGAGCCACACCTAATGTAGTCAGATCGAAGCACGTTGAAAGAAGTTTTGACTTGTAATCAAATGGTTGAATATAGGGCCCTCTAACTCTCGAACCACAAATCCAGAATCTAATCTGTGGTAACCTATTTTCAGTATATACTCAGTATACACCAAAGATCTTTAGTTCTTGTTTAAACACTATTTATTTATCT